TGATTTATTCACAAATCTTTAACTATATTCTTAATAACTTTTACTGGATAATGATGAGTAAATATTATATGCATTTGTATCATTTAAATTTACTTAACAAATGTTAGTGCAAATTTGTTAGAGGATTTTTTCAAGTACATTTTTTTCAGTGTAGTCCTTCAAACTGTAAAACTTTTATGAATCTTTGCACAAACAGCTTTATTCTAATGCTTCTCTCTTCCACTCACGTGTAGTTCTTCCTCTGCAGGCTCCACCTCATGGGTAACGAGACTTCAGTTACAAAGATCTGTCTGAAATGGACTCCCATCACCTCTGTGACCCCTCCATCCCCAGCACCGAGGTCCAGAAGTCTCTCTGCCCTCCAGTCTGACCCGACCCGGAGCAACTGCTGGAACTGCTCTGTAGAAAACACAAACATTGCTCCCCGACCCAGAAACCTGAACCAGAGAGCGTGCAGTGAGGAGGAAGCATGTGGACCAGCAGCAGGGCAGACTCTGGAACACTTACCCATTGATGGAGGTCCGCGACACCAGGGGGCTGAGGATGGTGGAGACCAGAGAGTGGTAGAGCTGCGTGAACAGCCAGCCTGACTTTGTTTTACTGTGCTGGAGAAAAGCCCTGGTGTCCGAGTCCAGGTGGCTCTGGATGAAAAGAGCTCGCATAGGTTCTCCTAGTGAATCTGGGCAGCACTGGTACCACTGGACACAATCAAGACATTAAAGTGTGAGAAAAGGAGAACCCATTAGATTGTTGGGACATTTTCAGCACTTCGTTTGAGCAAGTTGAGAGTGGTTTATTTACACAAAGTGAACGAACATCAGCCTCTCCTCAGAGAACAAACTGTGATAGAATATCCTTAGTTTTAGTGTTTGTGCACACTACTGTGATWCGTTTCTCATCCAAGTCATCTCCACTTTGGCACGCTTCTCCTCCTGCATACTTTGCCAAATGATGGCTATGTCTTTTGGTGCCTGTACATCTTATAATTTTTGAAATATTAATGTTTAACAGTTTATAATGGGAGTCAATGGAGCCTTGTATTGGTCCAATACTGCTCTATCTACCCAGTACTGCACCATAGTTTAATAATATTTAATCTCAATACTTCAGGGTTTACAATACTAATATGATTGTATTTTGATGTTTTACTATAATATTGTCCTAATATTGCTTTATTGTTGTAATATTTTTCAAATTAGTGATAACCATTACATTGGCAATATGGCCACTTTCGGCATACATACAAACCAAACCCTGGCCTCGTTCTAATGGTCTCATGGTTAGTGCCATGGGCTTTCATGTGGGAGATCAAGGGTTCGAAACCCAGCAACAACAACTTTAACAGAAAAGCTCTACAAAATTCATATTGTTACACAATTACCTTAATTACAAACACCTGCTGATGTGACAGGCACAAGCTGGTATAGAA